GGCGAGGAAGCTGGAAGATCTCGCTTACTTGGAAGCTCATTTCTGAAAAGGGTCCGTGACCCTTGAAGTTAATTCGATGTTATTTTTGATGCGATGAGCTCGGAGTCGTTTAAACCGGCCATTTTCCGCAGCGGAGATGTTGCGGAATAAAAGCACGGGTATCGTAATCTCTCTCCGAGAGCTGACCGCAGTACGCTGTAATTTTAATCGCGCGACTTTGATGACGTTGCATGCGTGCGTGTAAGGCAGAGGAGGAAAAGGGGTCGAAAGGGATCGCGCAAAGAGAATCGAAATTGCGATGCTGTCGACCTCTCTCCCGCACCCCCGCGCACATACACGCACGTAAAGTCGATGAAAAATTGATGCACTGCAAATAGGACTGGCGTTATGAGCCACTTCTCAAGTCTGACATTTGCATTGATACCTTGGCACCTGAAAATACTAAGATGAGAAGAAATTTCTTAAATGAAATAATCTTCCATCTACCATCACAAGATCGATATGTACTTGAAAACCTGTTAATTTAGATAATTTGAAGTTTTTTATTAACCAAAGAGATAAGACAAAGAGAAAAATTTCGAGAGAGGTTTTAATTATATTGAGCAATAAAAAAACCTACTTTTTTCTTGCCTAAGACTTTAAATTATTTCTTGTGGCTTTTTGCTAAACGTGAATCTGGCAAAATGTCTTCATTACATCAGGTTTTTGAGAAAGTTGTTAAGTAAATAAAAGTTGTTAAAAATTTTAATTTTGGCATTTTTCAATAATTAATAATTCTGAACTGGGGTATGCTACAAAATTTCACAAGATCTAAAACGAAAGATCTAATAATAAGCTACTGCTACAGAATAAAAAAATAAATCAAATAAAAAATTTTCATAGCAGATTTCTCAAAATGCTGACGTGATGAAGACATTTCGTGCTCCTTCGAGCTTAGTAGCCAAAGATACGTAAGAAATGACTTATTAAATCTTATATTTCATGTTGCTTATTATTAAAAGACTATAATTTGCGATTAGAGAAGAATGTTTTTTTTTTCACTTGTAGTTATAAATTCTAGTAATGAATTTCTTCGCAACAGCTAAGGTAATATATTTTTTCCGAAGGTGCTTACCGATGTGCGATGCTTTCATGAAGAGTTTGTTTAAGAAAGTTTACTTTAAGTTTTGCTCTCGAAACCCCGCGCCGCTTAAAGCCTCAGCTCGCGTTTCGTTTACGTTTGAGGCGTCGGGAATATTCCGTTGTATTGGGAAAAGATAAATGATCCTCGGGATAGTGCTCGCGTCGCTGGAAACGTTTCAAGCTGGAAAAAGTTTCAATCGTTTTTCTTCCCATTCGTTTTCTTTCATTCGGCGCGGCCAGGAGGGTATTTACCAAGCCAGTTTCCTTCCTTCTCGCGATTATGGGATTTTATGTGATTGCTTATGAGGAAATATTAGGCACTGTTCGCTTGATGCGTTTGGCACAGGAATAAGCTCTGCTGCAAATAAATCTTATCTATGCCCAAACCTGAAAGTTCCGATCGAGTTTCCAATGGAATGCAGCGATATTCGCAAATATGAAGTTTGTTCTCTCACAAACAAGTTTTCTCATGCAGACTGCAATTGCGATGACAGAATTGTATACAACTTTACTACTCTTATTATATAAAATATTATTTTATTTAAAATATATTATTGTTATTGAACCGCTGTTTATAGATATGCAAATGGAAAAGAAATTTAATTCAAGATTATCAAATAATTTTTAAGGTGAGAAAATAAATATTGGATTATATAGATGCAGTTAAAAAATTTAAACATTAAAATGACGGTGTATAATATTAAAATTAAAATTAAGGATAAAAATGTGAAAGAACACGAGGGGGAATATGGACAAAGGCGCTTGAATTCACGAGGTAAGAAAAATAACTAGTGATAATCCTCGTCAATATCGTTTGTCGTGGTTATGGAATCGAGCCTTACTTTTCCTTTTCCTTATTATGAGATTTTCTGACGTCAACTATCCGCCGTCTGTGAAATGCGCGGCATTAAACTATCCGTTCTCGGGCACAGAAGCCGGAGGATGACAGACAGTTTTCCGCGGCGAGCTCATCGGACTTGCACACCGAGTTTTTCGATAATCACCTTTCATAACCACGTTTCCTCGATTACCTTTTTCTATCCTACCCCTTAGGATATCCTCTCAGTGACGCGTCTCGGCGCGGCGAGCCGATATCTGTATCAACCGGTATAATCAATCCCACGGAGAATGCGCGAGGGAAATATTTCGCGCGTCATATGTATTTTCCTATGTATTTTCCTTTACACAATCGGTAGAGTTTCTTGATATCATTAAACGAGTTTCATCTGAACGATTCGCCACTGCTCACGCGAGACGCGAAACGCACCACTTTCATTCGCCCGTTTTCTTTCACCCGTTTGCTTGCGCACTTTATGTCAGGCCGGGCAATGCGAAGACCGTATTATCGATAACGAACATTTTTAATATCGAGCGAAAAACGGCGAAGGAGTGTTGTCGGTCACTTGTTATTACTAGTCGCTTCGATATTAACGATAGAACGATAGATCGTCGACCCGATCCCTCGCGGGGCGTGGCGAAAGGATACTTCAAAAAGTAGGTCGACGAGCGCAGCTTTTTAAATAGCGGGCTTTTCACAATCTCTCTCTCTTTCTCTCTCTCTTTCTCTCTCTCTGTCTCTCTCTCAACTTTAATCTTGAACATTTTTCAATATCTATCCATCGACAGAAATTTATATCCAAACATGTCTCTCATGATATAATCGTAAGAAGATACCTGCGTCGAGCATAAATTCTAATGTCGCATAATATACGTCATATTACATATTATGTAATTTGATATTAATACATTTCTGTGAAAGAATTTATGACACAGGCACTTTTATCTTCAAATTATTTTCTGTATCATTTTTCTAGCATTTGTGTGTTCTCGTTAGATATTATTAAAAGAAAATCATCTCATTTTTGTTGCAATTTTATTCCTTTATATAAATTATTAACAAAAGTTATATTGAAATTACTCCAGAAATATTGCGTTACATTTATGGATTTTATGGATTAATTTTAGAATGTTTTTCCTTAATTTTGTAATTTTTAAT